CCCCGCCCCCGCCCCCCCGCCCCCCCTCCCATCACCACTGGGAACCCTACCCCGACCCTCACCCCAGCGGCGCTCAGCCATACTCAGCGCCCTCGGGCGACCCCTCCACCTTCTCCTATCGCCCCCTCCCCTTCGAGCCACCCTTCCCAGTAGTGGGCGGGAGACCCGCAGTGAGACAGGGTCCCACTGGGTGTGTGGCGGCCCTGGGCTGTGCCTCTCCACCTGCCCTGCCTCCACCTACCTTTCCAACTCCCACAGGCTTCCCACTCCTGCGGGGTGGGGCACTAATTTGGAAAAACATCCCCCAAAGCTGATACCTGCTCTGGGGAACCAAGGAGGTTCTAGATCACCCACTCATTTAGACCCCAGATCCCAGAGCCAGACCACTTGGGACTGAATCTTTGCACTAACCTCACAGGGTCATTCTGAAGATTAAAAGATATATAATATACGTCACACATGTATTATACATATATATAATATACATAAGAGATATATAATATACATAATATATAATATATGTATAGTAGACAGTCGTCCCTTGGGATCCATGGGGGATTGGTTCCAGGACCAAAATCTGCCGATGCTCAAGTCCCTAATACAAAATGGCATTGTATTTGCACATAACCTACGCACACCCTCCCCTGTACTTTAAATCACCTCTAGATTGCCTGTAATACCTAGTACAATGTAAACACTACCTAAACGGTTGTTATACTGCATTGTTTAGGGAATAATGACAAGGGGGAGAAAAGTCTGCACCTGTTCAGTACAGATGCAGCCATCCTTTTTTCCCCAAAAATATTTTCAATCTGGGGTTGGTTGAATCCATGGATGTGGAACCCACGGATACAGAACCCATGGATACACAGGGCTGACTATATATTATATATTTGCTTACAAAGTAAGTATATATCTAACTTAATAAGCATTGTGTGAGTATTAGCTGTTATTACTCCTATTCATTTGTTCATTTATTCTTTAACCTTCATTGAACCATCTCAGAGTGAGCCAGATACTGCCCTGCCTTCCTTCCTGAGTCCCCTGTCCAGGCAGCTGGGAGAGAAGGCCATCCAGGAAGCTGCAGGGGCCCAAAGGGTGGCTGGTTCAAGCCACAGGCCAGGAGGTCTGGCTCCCCTGGGATTTACATCAGGACAGAGCACCCACTCTACTTGCTGTCTGCCCCCCTACTCTTTGTGCACCAACGCCAATGCCAGGGCCAACCCTGAGTGCCCAGATCATGTTGCTCCAGCTGTGGGTTATGGGGGAGTCCTTGCACCCAGCACACAGGGCATTTCTGAGGGGTGGGGTGGGCAGGGTGGCAGGAGGCTATTCTGGTTCCCTGTTCCCTCACTTCAGGCTGCCTAAAGAAACACAGCAACCTCTGCTCTGGGCCACCGAGCCCCATGATGAAGGCCACAAGGACGGTGCTTCTAGGTGATGAGTGAGAAACTGGGAAGTGACTCTTGGGGGATGGAAAATCCCACCTTCTGATCAGGAGACTGGGAAAGCACCTGGTTCCCACACATTCTGAGACGTGGGCTGTACTGAGGGTGCGGCCAGCGCAAGCTGAAGTCTACAGAGAGGGTCAGCCACCAGACGAGCATGCAGCTTCCTGATGGCGCTTACAAGTCCCACCTGGGAGCAGTTTTGAGGTCTCCTTGATCCATAGGAGAGAGCCAAAGGTCAGAGTGGAATGTCACCTGGTGGAAGCAGGGGACAATAGTTCTCCCGGGATGTCGCCCACATACTTCAAACCCAATGGGTCCAACTGACTCATCCCCTCTGACCAGATCCCCTGCTAGCTCTTACCCCTCCCAGTGAATGGCACTATCACCTCCCCAATGTGGGATCTCCTGGGGTTGATTCCTATCCTGGGGATTAATTAGAGCTCCAGTCTCTTATGCAATGTGCATCTTCTCTCCTTCTCCAGCTTGAGGACATGGTGACCTCTCTCTTAACTCCACCAAGTGCAGTTCTTGACACCTCCAGGGTCAGGCCCAGGGGTGAGGGCTCGGTGTTCCATGGCAGCCAATTGTCACCCACCTCACATTAGGGCATTTGGAGGCAGTTTCTGGCTCATTCTCTCTGAAAGCACTTGCGTGGGTTTCTTAAAAACACTCCTTCCTCAAAAAAACTAAAAATAGATCTATCTTATGACCCAGCAATCCCACTACTGGACACATACCCAAAGGAATGAAATGACACCTATACTCCCATGCTCATTACAGCACTATTCACAATAGCCAGGAGGTGGAATCGATGTAAATGCCCATCAACAGATGAATGGAAAAAGAAAACCAAAAACTGTGGTATATATACACAAAGGAATATTATTCAGCTATAAAAAATGAAATCCTATCATTTGCAGCAACATGGATGAATCTGGAGACCATCATGTTAAGGGAAGTAAGTCAGGCACCAGGCACAGAAAGATAAATACTGCATGATCTCACTCATATGTGGACTCTAAAAAAAAAAAAAAGGAGGTTCTCACGGAAGTAGAGAGTAGAATAATGATTACCAGAGGCCAGAAGGGAAGAGGGTGGGGAGAGGTGATTTACAGGTACAAAGTTACAGGTAGACAGGAAGAATAAGTTCTGTTGTTCTAGGCTGGCTAGAGCTAATAATAGTATATTGTATATTTCTAAATAGCTAGAAAAGAGGATCTTGACCATAATCACCACAAAGAAAAGATAAATGTTTCGGTGATGGATAAATGTTTAAGTGAATCATCAACACACCGTACCCTACAAATATGTATGATTAAAAAAAAATTTTTAACAGATCTTCAAGCTGATTCCTATGTTCATGGCTCCCAAGCACCAGGAATGTCTGAACCTCCTGGTGGTCGCAATATAACACCTCGCCTTTGCTCCTACATGAATGTTGGCCTTCCAGGCCTCTCCTGCTGAGGCCACCTCCCCCAATAGGAAGCAGTTTGGGGTAGAGATGGCCCAAGGCCAGCTTCTTCCCTGGGGTCCACATTTGCCCTGCCCTTTGCTCTGCACCCGCAACAGCCCAGCGCATGACCCATGCACTTCGTCTGGCTCTAGCAATGCCACATCAGGCCCACCTAGCCATGGGCACCTTTATGCATCACCCACTGTGTGCCAGCCCTGGGGTGCTGGGGACTCAGCAGTGGGCAAAACAGACAAGATTCTCCCATCCATGTTATAGTCCCTAAACTTCCAGGATATGAAATTCCCCAGTTGGTCCCTTAGAGACCCTCCCACTTGGCCCAAGGTAAGGGGAAGCGCCTCCTCCTTTCTTCTAAAGGACAGCAGGAGGAATGGTGATCCCTTCCCAAAAGTCCTTCTCTTGGCTTCTCCAGCCCCAACATCTTGTCAGGCTGGTGTAGACAGTGGCAAATTCTGGCTGAACCAGTTTGTCTCTTAGCATGACTTGCACTAGTGGCCCAAGACTTTCTTTTCAGGATGGGGGATAGATCTTGACGCCCACCATATTGTACCTGCCATTGGGGCATCTGGTAAAATTCAGCAACAGCAGGGACAGTCCTTTAAACATCTGTCATAGTCCGGATCACCTGGCCACTCTCCTCATGCCCCACAGCCCAGCCCTGGCTCTGGCCTTGGCCATCTCATTTATGATGCTCCAGTGGCCTCCCAACTGGGCCTCTGGCCTTCAGGCTCTGTCCCTCTAATCTGTTCTGCACGCTGTGATCAGGGCCAGCCCTCCAAAGCAAAATACACTCATGGCCCCTCCCTAGTCCAGTAGTTCTCAACTAGGGGGTGATTTTGTCCCCAACCCCAGGGACATTTGGCAATGTCTGGAGACATTTTAGGTTGGCACAATTGCAGGGGGCAGGGAGAGGTGCTACCAGCATCTAGTGGGTGGAAGCCAGGGATTCGGCTGAACATCCCATGATGCACAGAACAGCCCCATAACAGAGAATTATCCAGCCCCAAATGTCGATAATGCCAAGGTTGAGAAACTTGGCCCCAGCCATGGCTCTCCACCGTCTTCAGAACTG